TTTACTCTAGGATAGGGTATATAAATTAGAGCGTTTGGGTCTAGAATAGGGTATAATTTTTCACAAAACTGACTAGTTGGTTGAAGATGTTATCTAGACAAAGGAAACCAGGAATTGTCACTCAAAAATATAAAAAAATTAAATCGGCAATTTTAAATTTATGCAAATCAGCCTCAACAGTGTCGATAGACGGGGGATTTGGGGAGTTTGCTCTAGTATAGGGTGGCAAAAATTCAGCTGAACTAGCTCTGGTATAGGCTAAGGGTTCCAGGGTCCCAGCGGCACACCCCCACCCAGAAATTCCCAAAGTACCCCTCCCAAATCCAATATGTAACTAGTAAGTATTTTGTACATGACTTTTGCTAAACTTGCATAAAAACAATGTGCAAATAATTATTTTCTCTTAAAATTTTGCTTCAGAGTCTTAAGAATTTCACTCCCTCATAAAGGACCACCCAAACATTTCTACTCCACCAAAACAAATTCCTCTAACAATCAATCAGTGTTTTTGCAGCACAATGTTAGCCTTGAGACTGCAAGAAAAGGCATTTCTTAGTAGGATAAATGATTCTGAACCAGACATTAACTCTGAAGCCATAGGTAACAAATTCTGAATCATTCCAAGGAATAATATTGACCCAGGAGTAAATAAGCTTGAAAGAGAAACTTAAAATCTTCTGAACTGGGGGACATCTCAATGAAATAAAAACTCTTCTCTGCTCATTACTCTCCTCATTATGACAACATAAAATTTAACTAGTTGCATATACATTACTTGCAAAAAATTTTGGACAATGTAAATTTCGGACAAAGAAATGTCCAAAAATACAACAGTCTGAAATTTGTAAGTGCTTGGAATTTTAAGGATCCAAAATATTTACAGTACAGTATGAAGCACATACTTTCTTCTTGGACAGCGCCATCACATGCTTGATGAAGCAAGAACTTGAATTACTGGATTTGCTTGTTCTTTTTATCACCTGAAAGGAAATTTTTGTTTCTTATTATTATTATATCTTTTATGAGAACATACATGTAATGCAGATCAATTCCATACATTTTCCTGTCTGATTCAAGTTTTGAAGGCAAACATTTAACTAAGCTATGTTCTAACAAAGCATCCTACAATTAAACGTCCAAACTTGTTGAAAGTAATGTACCTTTGGTAATTATTAAATCAAAATTAATGCTTATCAAAAACATGTCACTGTGAACCCTGCAAATAACAATAAATCATCGGACTTAGCCTGGTTGGACACTCTGACTGGGCATTTCTGCTACAATAAAAGCTACTAGTAGTTGTAGATTAAAGAGTGTGTTCGAGTTTTGGTAGGTTTGGTATGTTAAAAAACAAAAATTCGAAGAACAGCATTGTGTGACTGAGCTGTTAAGTAGATGTGAAATTGACCTTCCTTCAGTGGGGCAAAAACAAATGAATTAATCACAAAGCACGTACACATGAGAGGGTTCATTCTCATTTATACATGTAATACATGTAAACTACATACTTGTATATAAATGTAATATTAGTTATGACCGGTCAGTAAAAAACACAGATTGCAGTCGGTAGGCCGCATTTAGTCCAGTCCGCATTTTATACCTGATCCATTAGTCCATGTGTTATACCTAAGTCCATAGCCCGTAGTCCGCAGTCTGCAGTCTGTATTTATACTGACCATGTAATGGTACATTTTGCTGACCCCTAGTCCATGGACTTCCCCGATGGACCTGGACCATGGACTACTTGAATGGACTACCCATATATTATTTTCTTGCTGAGACAGCCTTACATGTACATATTTTGTCCTGCAAAAAGCAAAACGCAACCCTAAAATTACACTTTTTACAAATGCTAGCAAGCCAAAATAACAAGTGTGGCTGGAAAAGCTAACCCATAGTACTAAAATATCATCTTTTAGCAGCTATTCAGGACTGTCAGATTTGTATGTAATTTAAACCTGTATTGTCATCAAATTTTCAAAATTATATGCTTCAACAAGGTTGTGTCATGTCAAAATTTAGTTCAATTTCGTGGACCAATTTTGCAGTACATGGTTTACATGTATCTGTCGAAAAAATTTTACCAGTTAAAAGTATCCCTCAATCTAAGTTTTTATTGCAAATCTAGCTTATTCCCTGATATTTTGACCTTTCACACCGTGATCAAAATCTCCAACATTGATCCAGAAATGTTTGGCTGTAGGTCTAATTTCCTGTAAAACTGTCTTTAGGTCTCTAAGATCAGTTACTGTACTTGAAAATACATATCAGGCTGTAAACAAGCATTTTAAGCAGATGTTAATTTTGGATAAGAAATAATACATTTGGCGGTTGGTGACTCCAGACAACGCACACAACAAAACATCAGATATTATAGTTCACCACAAGCCTGCGCAGCAGGCATATAAAGGGGAGGGGGTGAATGGCATTAGCAAGAATGAATGGCATTAGCAAGAGCACACAAATGTCCAAAATGTTCAAATGTTGTTGTTTATAGTGGAAATTGCAGAAAATGTGTTCGGCCACCTTAAGAGTCAGTAGTTAAATAGGGTATCAAATTTTTGGTCAGGGCATTAATAGGATAAGAAAAATCATGGCAAGAAAAACGTTGATTTTGTTCTTAAATAGGGTAAGGATTTTTGGAAGTGCCCCCACCCAATTTTTCTCGGAGTACCCCCTCCCCTTTGAGCATGGGGAGGGGATGTGGTTGTTTCAAATTGACTGATAGAAATATGTACATTACAAGTAAAAGCATCTCAAACAAATTAATTTTCAAAACATATAGCAGTTTACACGTGTAAGCTTAATGCCATGCGTTGTCTCATTCCAGATACATTGCTCTAAAAGATCTCGTTATGATTAAACAAAGACAAATAATTCATCTGAGATAAAATTATTCACCTCCTAAGACAGGTATAGCCATTCTACGTCTTTCATCTTGTTCGCTGTGTGTGTGTGTGTGTGTGTGTGTGTGT